CAGGTGGTGCAGGCCCAGGGAAGCAGAGGGAGTTGAGGGCGGGGCCAGGCCCAGAAGCAGTGCTCCTGGGGCCCAGAGAAGGCACTATGTTGGTCTGGATGAAAAGGATCAGGGAGCGATATTGGTTCCCCAGGTGTCTGGACCCCCAACTCAAGGAATGGGGCAGGGCCCAAACTCAGAGGAAAGAAAGGCAGTGGAGATGGGAGGGTGAATGAGGCTGGGGGAGTCAAGGTGCAGAGGGTGCAATGGACTTACCCCAGAGAGAGGCCTGTGGGTAGGAGAGAGGCCTGCTGTGGGTCCTGAAGGCCCAGGGACTCAGAGGGAGGTGAGGGCAGGGCCAGGCCCAGAAGCAGTGCTCCTGGGGCCCGGAGAAGGCACTATGTTGGATGAAAAGGATCAGGAAGCCTTATTGGTTCCCCAGGTGTCTGGGACCCCAAGAGAAGGAATGGGGCAGCGCTCAAACTCGGAGGAGAGAACAGCGGTGGAGACAGGAGGGTGAATGGGGCTGGGGGAGTCAAGGTGCGGAGGGCACAATGGACTTATCCCAGAGAGAGGCCTGCGGGTAGGTGAGAGGCCTGCTGGAGGTCCTGCAGGCCCAGGGAAGGAGAGGGAGGTGAGGGCCGGGCCAGGCCATCTTTTACTCTTTTTTTAAAAAAAATATTTTACTTATAATTTTTATGTGTATGAGTGTTATTGCCTGCATGTATGTGAGTGCACCTGTGTTCTACACTGCCCTCAGAGAACAGAAGAGGGTGGCAGATCCCCTGGAACTAGAGTTAAGGATGGTTTGTAGCCACAATGTGGGTGCTGGGAATTGAACCCAGCTCCTCTCCAAGAGCAGTCAGTGCTCTTAACCACTGAGCCATCTCTCCAGCCCAAATGTCTTTTAATCTTTGTAACCTGAAAACTTTACACATAAAAAAATGAAGTCGCTCTGCTTCCTGCACCTGCTTGAAGATGTGAGAACTTAGCTTCTTCTTCTACTCCAGCCACCTCTGCCACCATGCCTCCCTGCCATGATGAACTATTATTGCCTCTTTTGCATCCTAAGAAATGGAAGCAACCTACATACCCTCATCTGATGAGTGAATAATGAAAATGTGATACAATTACATACTGGAGTTCTACTCAGCGGTAAAGAAAGAAAGGTAAAATGATGAAATTTGCAGTTGGATGCACTACTTTGGAAAGCTGTGGAACATCGAGGAGATGGAGCCTGGCTGATGGAAAGGGAGCTTGGCTGATGAAGAAGGAGCATGGTCAGTGAACATGTGTCTCCAGGGTTGAGCCTCTGAAGGTTCCAACCTGGCTCCTGCTTCCTAGTCCATCAAGCTGTGAACAAAGAGTGCCCCAGAATCCCACCTCCACAGATGAAGCCTCCCAGCCGCCATGCCTATCTACCATAATGACTGATGTCCCCTGAAACTGTGAGCAGCGTAAACCTTTCCTCCCTTAAGTGGCTTCCATCAGGATTTCATCACAGCCACAAAGAGAGTCATGAACTCTCTGGCTGCCATTTGTCCAACCTAGGGCACATAGGACAGCACTGTTTTGCTGCCTTCCTCCTCCATTTTCCCACCTGGTTTCATCAACCACAATTAGCTAGTCACTGTGGCTTCAAGCCTGTGGGATCCCAGAACAGAGGGAGAGGGGAGATGAGTCTTCAATGCCCTTCTCTGCTTTAAGTTTCTCTCTCTCCTTTATGCCAACACCAAAGGGGGAGGGGAATGGCTATTTCTGTGTCATGGACACAGTTCCAACCCCTGAACTGGAAGGGACACATGGACAGCTCAAAACCAATAAAGAGGAAAAATATTGCCTGGAGGGAAATATTAACCCCCAAAAGTAACCCCAATAAATTAATCCAGTAAGTGAACCCAGTAAGAACCCAGAGATACTTAGAGCAGGTGGTGGCCTGTCTCTACCCTGAAAGTTTGTAAAGCTTGCAGGTAAATCTCACTTTCAACATGAAAAAAAAAAAAAAAAAAAAAAAAAAGAAAGGTCTTTTTTTTTCTAACTATTTGGAAATTTTCAGTTTTAATTTGAAATACCTTGTTTGATTTTGGTCAACATTCATTACTATAAACATCATTTTGATATACCTTTAATATAACCTTTTTCACGAACAGCTTGCAAAGTGGGACGTCGTGTAAGAAACTTCTTTAAATTCTTCTTGGTTTTCTTCTGTTCTGAAGAATCCATGCTAGATACTTTCATGGCTTAAGACAAACAGGTAATTAGGCATTTCATAAAATAAAACTTTCTTAGTCATGAAGAACCAAATTATGACTCAATTTTAAGCAAAAACTTTCATTTTTATCACTAAAAGCTGATTACCACTGTACCTTCTTGCGTAAGTTAGGATACCCCATTATTTTACATCATATTTCAACTACTTTCCCATCAGTGTTAGAAAGTAAAATGACTACACACACATAAACACAAAATTCACACACCACAAACAAAATTTCCTATCCTACAGAACTGAATTATACCCTGCATAATACACATATTCATACTTAATAATCTGTACTTTGACCTAAGCATAGAACATCTAGGAACTGTTATGTGTTATGTTCAGGGAAAGTTAAGAGCAAAGACTGTATCAGTAATGAATAAAACTTTTAAGCCAGGCTTGATGGCACATGCCTATAATCCAATCACACGGGAGACAAAAGCAGGAGAATCAGGAACTCAAGGTCAGCTTAGGGAGCTTGAGGTCAGCCTGGACCACAAAAAAACATAAAAATTTTGTGTTAACATTTGTGCATGGCAGCAATGTCACTGTGTGTGTGTGTGTGTGTGTGTGTGTGTGTGTGTGTAGGGAGGGAGGGAGGGATGGACAGACAGACAGAAATCATTACACTTTCAGAGAACAAAAGTAGAATGGACTTTCTAACTATTTAATTTGAAGGTTAGAAAATTCTTAAGCATGTGAATTAGTTAAAATAGACTGAAAAAAGTGTGGAGTCCCAAGTAATGGCCTCAGTAACAAACTGCACAACGGTCTACACTAGAAACTATCTTTCTTAACTGCACGCTTAGCTCTGCTCCTGTCTGTAGGTATGTTCTGTGCACAGGCACAGAAATGTCAAGGCAGAGATGTCAAAACAGGGATGGATGTGAAACACATCCCTTGACTTCAGACTTCTGTAAGCCTAAGATTCTATGCAGAACTATATTTTTTTGGTCTTTTTGAGATGGAGTCTCCCTATAGCCCCAGCTGTCTTGGAACTCTGTAGACCAGGTGAGCCTTGAACTCACAGGGATCCAACTGCCTCTGCCTCCTGAGTTGCTGGGGTTAAAGGCATGCACCACCACACCTAGCATTTTTAACTCAACAAAGTTTTTATTTTCTAGATCTCAACAGAAGTTGTACTGCATTTTCTCTTAAAGCATCATGAATCTGAATACTAACAATACCACAGAGATGTATACTGTGAGGTTAAAAATGACTGTAAACTATCAAGAGAGAACAGAACACTGAGTTACAAGTACTTAATCTTGTGGCCTTTTCTAATACTGGAGCCTGCATATTTATACAGGCATTTATTTAAAATCTTTGAGACGCTAAGAAAGGTGCATTCAAATCACTAGCAAGGAAAGAACACTTACAACGAAGTTTTTTAAGATCCTTCTGGTCCTTTTCTTTATCTTGCTTTTCCACCCCTGGTGAATCTGGTACCTCCTCTTCAACTGCTTCATCAGTTTCTACTGTCTATGGATGAGAGGTTTTCCAAACACAATTACTTCTAGTACTGGTGTAGTTGAAATAGTGTAATTTTCAGAATGACCCACAAATGAATCTTATCAACGATTTTAGAAAACCAGTTAATATACAGTATGTTATGATTTGGGTATTTGAGAAATCTTTGAAGGTACGTTTTCTCCCTTCATAGCATTAATTTTGATTTCTAAAAGGAAAACATAGCTGTAGCTCACAGAAATCTGGGTTTATACTGATGATGACGCTATCTTGCCTCATTTGATCCATTCCATGTGGATGGCACAAAGTAGAGAGTCAGGTGATCAAGCACAAAGCAGCTAACATTCAGTACAAATAGATCAGACTTGCACTCATGGACCTGACAACCACACTGCCTGTGACAACAGTGTACGAGTGTAGCATTCCACTGTAGGAACAGTGGAAGATTATACTTAGAAACTCATAGATGTTAGGAGCTACGAAAAATAAATCCTGGAATGTCTCTACCTGCAAAGTAAACTTCCACAGGATGAAAAAAATGGACTGAATTCTCAAAGCTAAAAACTTTGTTTCTCCTTTCTCACTGATGTCTACCTCACTGGAATTTATCTTTGTATATCGTGTAAGGAAGGGCACCCCATTTCTTTTTGGCTATCCAGTTGTACCAGTACTGTTTACTTAAAAGCATATTCTTTCTTGCTCTACTGGCATGAAGCATCCATGGGTCTGCTCTAGGCTCTTTTTACTCTGTGCCACAGTCTGTTTGTCCAGCCCTGAATGAATACAAAGCTCTACTATTTAGTGCAGCTTTAAAAGGCTTGATATATGATACAGCAGGGCTTCTATTTTCTTCTTTAAGAATACCCTGGGTATTTCTTAGCCTTTTTTCTCTAAAAGAGTTTTAGAATAAGTTTCTCAGAAAAACTACTAGGATTTTGAGTAAGGTTAAAAAAAAACCAACTCAGATCTATAAATTGTTTAGAAAACACATTTTTACATGATACAATTTTTATGAACATGTATACGTCTCATTTAGATTTTTCAATGTCTCTCAGTAACATTTTGTGATTACCCCCCCCCCTGATTTCCTACCCTCCTTTTTTCTGAGGTAAGTGCTCATTCTAGCCCAGGTTGGCCTTGCGGCTATCTTCCTGCCTCTCCTCCCAACTGCTGGGATTACACGCTTAAATGACCAAGTTTGGCTCCTCTGTGGTTTTTGACACTTTGAAAACAGTAGGTATCTTCAAATTTCATAGTTAATAACATGCTCATCTCTTTTTACTTGCCTTATTTCCCTGATCCTATAGACCTCAATTAAAACACAAAACCAAAAAACACTGTAACATTTGTCCTGCAAAGTCTTTCCTGACCACTCACACTAGACTAGCCCTTCTGGGTTTTTGTTTTACTTGAGACAGGGTCTCACTATGTAGCCCCTGCTGGCCTGGAACTTGCTATGTAGTCCAGGCCTGCCTTGAACCACAGAGATCTGCTTGCCTCTGCTTCCTGAGTGCTGAGATTAAAGGTGCCACCATGCCTGGTGCATTTTAGGCCTTCTTATTCAGTGTTTTTATAATATGTTACATACCTTTATCAAAATGCATAAAATTTTTTATTAGTTGTTCAGTTATCTGTATTTAGTCATTTTTTTTTACTGTAACTGTCAAGTAGAAAGTTGTAAAGGGCTGCTTGCAGCCCCGTACATAAGCACTCATGTATTTGTTAAATGCATGTATGCATATACTGTGATTAGAGCTAAAAAATTAGATGGTCTAGAGTAAAACGTACATTTGAATAAAAACTGGGCTCAAGTTGTTGGATTTTGTTTCATGGAGCTACAGAAAGTTTCTGAGTGGACTGTAAAACTGATTATCATGGAATTTCTATAGCAATGGCATTAAAAATGGATTACTAACAACAACAACAAAAAGTATACTATAGGGATGGAGCTCAGTGGTAGAGTGCTTCTCTAGTATGCACAAGGGCACAAGGCCCTGGACTGATCCACAGCACCAAAAACCAAACCAAACCAAACTAAAAAGATCATTACATTAAATAAGCCTGTGTGAAACTAATAAGGCACTTCTTATTATGGTATGAAAATAAAAGTCTGTCATAGTTTCAGAAATAAATAGAAAAGGACAAAATCCAGTAATATGCTACATTACACAATATTACAAACTACAAAGAATTTATATGTAACTTCATGATTAATTTGCTAGAATAGCTAAAATTTCCTTTCATTTCTGTTGGACAGATGATCCTTAATGTGGAGGGGAAGTATAGAGGATCAGAAGAAATAGAGCTCCGAGCTGCCTATTACTGTTGAAGTTCTTATTATTACATGAGCCTTCAGAAGAGAAGGAGCAGAGAACTTGACAAGGTGTCACCAGAAAAGAAAGCACTCTGAGACTACAGCTGTATGTGCTTCACAGGTTTACCTGTGACCTCTTTCAAAACAGTATAACTTCCAAATCATTCAATCACAGAATATTATGTACTAGGCACTGTTTGCTCTTTTTCTTACATTTCTTTTCCACCCATGCCTAATCTAAACACTATTTCAAATCCACTGGAGCAAACGTTTTATAAGTGAGAATGTTAAATGAGTCATGTCACTCAGCTCCAGAGATTGCTAAAGTGACTTCAGCCTGTCCCACCTAGGTTAGTGTATACACACTTACATACAGTATCTTTCCATATGTATGCTAAAATTTGTAGGTATAATTAGCAATTAGAAAACCAGCAAAGTAGCTCTGCAATAAAAATTTTGTGTAAGTCCAACACATACCTGGTTATTGATAGTACTACTGAGAACTTTAAACCAATCATTAATAACAGCATCATTATCAGACTGTATCAGTAGTTCTGTTCCTTGACGAGTTTTCATCTTAACAGAAAGAGAGTGGAGGAGGAACAGTTAGCGCTTTCAAAAAAATAAAGGAACTCACTTCAAAGTTTACAAAATTACCAGTGGACTACGTGTCATGTTCCTATAGCAATGGAAAGTACTAAGATAGGTATGAAATATCTTTTATTATAGTGTAAACCACCAGTTTAGTTATTTTATAAAGCATGAAGGTTTTTTTTAAAAAATGTTTTATTATTTTTATTTTGCACGTATGAGTGTATTGCCTGCATGTATGTGAGTGTACCCGTGTTATGCAATGCTGCAGACGTCAGAAGAGGGCTTCAGATTTCCCTGGAACTGGAGTTAAGGACGGTTCATAGACGCCATGTGGGTTCTGGGAATTGAACCCAGGTCCTCTGCAAGAGCAGTCAGTGCTCTTAACCACTGAGCCATCTCTCCAGCCCCAGCCTGAAGGTTTTTTTGGTACTAAATTCTGAATGAAAATCTAGTAATTCAGGATACCAAACTAGTAGTTTATCATCTAAAATAAATTCAAGCAAAGCAGTGCACTTAACATTAGAATTGAAACAATTCATTTGTGAAGAAATAAAAGTCTGTGATATATTTACAGAGCTTAAGAATTTTTTCATAGCTTGAGAATTTCTCTATCTGGTTATAAATATAGAAAAAAGACTGTATTATATAAAGGGTAGTTTCAATATTTCCTACTTAATGGGCAAGTGATAATTGAGTACAAAGACAAGGCACAAACAACAATAAATGCCATATCCCTTTTTAAAAACAACTTTTAAATATTTTAGTATTTTAAATTATGTGTATGGGAGGAGGTATTTTCACATGACTGTCAGTGCCCACAGAGGCCAGATGCATTGGATTCCCTGGAGCTGGAGTCACAGGTGATTGTGAGCCACTTATCATGGGAGCTGGAAATTGGACTCAGACCCTCTGCCAAGAGCAGCACATGTTCTTAACCACTGGGCCATCTCTCAAGCCCAGCCCTCCTAAGAAATGTTTATACATTTATTATTCATTTATTTTGTGTGTGTGTGATCAAGTGTTTGCTATGGCATGTGCGTGGAGGTCAGAGGACAACTTGGAAGGGGTTCTCTCCTTCCACCATGTGGGTCCTAGGAGCTGAACTCAGGTCATCAGGTTTGGCACCAAGTACCTTTACCTATTAAGTTCTCTCTCCAACTCTCATTTCCCTTTAGAGCTGAAATACTGCTAAATGTCCAATCATGAATTGAAGTAAGGATGCATTAGTCTTACATGAAATCCAACACTAATTTCATCTCTTTTGTTCAATGTTCCTTACACTTCAATGACAAAACTTTTAGTTGTGAAAATTATTCTTCCCATTTTCTGGTTCATAACTGAACTTGTTTTCCTAAAGGAACAATTGACAATCTTCCCAAAAAACATTCTGAGAATCTTTTTCCTCATAATGATCCACATAATGTTTAAGAAATTTATTATTTAAAAATAGATTTAAAACATTATGTAATATTAATTCGGAACATGCTAGATTTATGTCCTGATACTTTGGAACGACAGCATTTTATTATTGCTAGTAAAAGGAAGGATTTATGAGACAAAAGCTTGTAGTATATTTAACCTCAAGTTCAGTACCATGAAAATGAAGCTAATTTTTACACACACCCTTACATCATGCTACAAATTAACTTAATCACCAATTTTGTCTCAATTTATTACATAAAGACTATTTTCCAAAATAACTATAAGACAAATACTAAAGTTAAGAATGTGAGTTATACTTAGAAAACAATGTATTACCTCAAATACATTCTTTTTGCTGGATTTATCCTTTGAGGCCATCTCAATCGTTGCCCCCTTGAGGTCCACTGTGAATTCTGGTTTGGACTGATTACTCCCAAACTTCATTTTAGAAAAAGAGAAAATCCTTTATGTGATATGCATGCATATTCATTATATTCAAAACATGAATGCAACAGACTACCTTAAATTTCTTCTCTTTCCAAACTACAAAATAATTTAAAATTTAAATATGCCTAGAAATATGAACTGCATTCATAGGAAAGGAAATAAAATGGCTCAGTGAAATACATTTATATTAATATATGTTTTATACACACACACACACACACACACACACACACACACACACACACGTTAAAGCCACCCTGAATTGCCTGCAAGTGTATATAAATTGTAGTAATTCCTAGAAAGGGAAATTTGGCAATGCTATTATTTGCAAACTGGGAGACAAATGTACACTTTAGTTTCACAGTTCCATTCTTGGAATTTATAATAGAGTACATGTGGCTATATAAAATAACATTCTAAGGCAAAGCATAAAAAACATGAGGCAGTGGGGCTGGAGAGATGGCTCAGTGGTTAAGAATGCTGACTGTTCTTGCAGAAGACCTGGGTTCAAATCCCAGCACCCACATGGCAGCTAACAACTGCCCATAACTCCAGTTCCAGGGGATCCAACAGCCTCTTCTGTCCTCCGCAGGCCATTGCATGACACGGGTGCACTTACATGCAGGCAACACACTCATACACATAAAATAAAAATTAAAATTAAGAAAAAAAAACAAAAACAACATGAGGCAGATACCAAGTACATTTTCCACCTAAGGAACAGTTTGTAATTCCGTTTTGTGCTTTCAAGGGTTATTTCCTTATCACTTTTTCCCTTAAATTTTTTCAAATATAAGCTGGGCATGGTGGCACACGCCTTTAATCCCAGCACTTGGGAGGCAGAGGCAGGTGGATCTTTGTGAGTTCCAGGACAGCTGGGGCTACAAGGAGACCCTGTCTCAAAAAAGACAAAAAATAAATAAATAAATATTGAGGAGCCCTCTGGACCCGATAAATAAATAAATAAATAAATGGATGAATGAATGAATGAATAAATAAATAAATAAATAAAAATCACTTTGCGGTAATGAACTCACAAATAAAAACATCACACTGCTAGATAAAGCTGTTTTCTAGTTTATGCCATTCTGTGTGTGTAGGTTTGTTAGATAAGTGCATAAAAATGTAATTGTTAGTGAAGTGCACAACCCTAAGCGAGGGTTCACAGCTTCATAACGGCCATTTTACCTGTATATAAGTTCACTGAGGTGTAGTGTGGGACTGGGTAGTGTTTGTCTGAGAGATTACATTAGTCTTACCAACTTCTGAAAACAGAATGCCCTAAGCCTCACCATCTTCTATTTAGCCTTTATTAAAAGTTATAACTAAAGTCAGAAGCTATAAAGCTTCTACCAGTTTAATGAGAGCAGTGAAAAACAGGAAAATAACTGGCAGGGTTTGCTAAAAGGAAAAGGCACTTAGTTTTTAATCATGTTTTGTTAACTACATAAGGAAAAGATTAGCAAAAAGAAAATGTGCGTTACATATATATATATATTTTTTCTGTTCGGGTCGGGCATGGTGGTGTGCACACCTTTTGTCCCAGTGCTTGGGAGGCAGAGACAAGCGAATGCCTGTGACTTTGACGTCAGTCTAATCTACACAATGAGTTTCAGGCCAGCCAGTACTACATAGTGAGACTCTGTTTCAAAAAAAACAGAACAAAACAAAAAGTCCTATTGGGTCTGCTATCTAAGAATAGAAAATAGCATTCCTATGGCAATGAAAAGGTTTGGCTGTTTTAAAGAACAATTAAACTATAATATACAGGTAATACAAGTTAAAAATATTTCCTGAATTTGATGTAAAAAGTTTCATTTGGAAAAATGTTTCCAAGTCAAATTATACTTGTCTTCGGAGTCAGACTTAACAACCTGTGCTAATTCACTCATATTAGTAATGTCAGCACTTTACTGAGCAGCTTCACACTTACGAATGGCTAAACTTCTGTTTCTCTTCATCTTTTCAGCTAGCAGTGTGGCCTTAAATAATATACTTGTAAAAATACAAAAAAATTGGGGCTATTTAGAATTTATTACTGAAATCACTTTTTATTATATTTATATTTTATATTTATATATTTTATATTTATTATATTTT